AACTATCCCTTTAAGAAACCTGCTTCATGGGTAAGTTGAGACACGGAAGATGCGTGGTGTGCTGGTGGAGCATCCCAGTTTTGTTCCTTTGTAGATTGGGTTTTTGTGCGCCATGTTGCTCATGGCAATTCTTTGGTGGAACAAGATAGCGCTCTGTTTACCAGAGGGGAAGTTGAAATGGGATAAGATGGATTTGTTTAGGTTTTGTCATGTGTAGTCAATTTAACCCCAAGTTTTGCAAACAATTTATTGCTTTAATCTTACAAGGTTCTGCCCGGAGAAAGTATGAAAAATGAAAACCAACCAAACAAACAAGCAGCCAAGGAACAACTGCTTGAAATCTTGACGTCCTAATTAGATTGTCTCTTATTGCTTTAATGAAAAAACATAAACAGAGGGCTATTTGCATCCTTGTGCCTTCTGGTTTTGCTGGAGTGCTCGTATTTGCAGCATTAAAATCAATGAGAAAAAAAAAACATTCATAAACCACGCTCTAAATAAAACACTCAAAAACATAAAACAGCCTTCGGCGCTTGCCGCAGGAAGTATGAGGGCATTATCAGTCTGTCAGTGAAGCCTCCCTTAACCACTATTTGCATCTCTCCGTTATTCCTTATCGGGGTGCATTCAGTTTGACATGCATTATGACTGATTCTCCACTCTTGTCACTGATTAAATTTCCATTAGCCATGCTTACCAGTTGTTGTGGCACTGAGAGCTCCTGAAAGATGTTCTCCAAATATGATTGCTGGGAAGAGAGCAGAGGTGGGATAATGACACAGTAACATGATTTTAGGAAGCGCTCTGTGTGACGGCTCCCTCACTCACCGCTTCAGTCTCTCCCTCACACGTCCTTTCTCATTCTTCCTCTTCTCTGTGTGGAGTTGCTTCTCATCTGCCATGAGCACAGCAATAAGGCAAGCATATAGAGAAAGACAGAAAGTGTGTACGTGTCTGTGTGTAGGGGGGTGTTAAGAGATTTATTTAAATCCTATCGTGCACACACACATACTCACAAACGGAAATAGCCATGTTTAGTTTAGTTTAGATAGTTCATTCCTCGCTGTTGTGTTATTCTAAACCCATATGACTTTTTTGGTCTTTTTTGGACCCATTTGGTCTTTTGAAGAATCTTAGCATCTTTTCCATACAAAACAAAATTTTCATACTCTAAAAATAACCAAAATTAATTTAAGCTATTCTTAACTGATTTTTTTTAATGCAGTGAGCTGGTAACTTGAGGCCAGATAATTGAGTAAGTAAATGCTGATTCATGAATGAATCAGTCCAACGATTCATTGATGAACTGTTCCATCCAATTTGTGAACCATATCAACCAGTCCATTCAAAAGTACAGCTCAAAAGAATGATTCTTTTGCTGAATCAGTTCTTAAGTCAACTTACTGAGTCAATGATTAGTTTGAGGTGGTTCTGGAGTTCATAACTCACTGGAAGTTAATCAGTGAATAAAGACTTATATTTGGTCTATTTCTCACACAAAGCTATCGTATTTTAGGCTGAAGAGATGGTTTGAATTTGAAAACATCTTGATGGATTTGTTTGACAAACACGCAACTTTTCACTTCACAAGTTAACTTGTGAAGTTCAGTTAATTGATGAACTTGAGTCATGTGGATTATTGTGGTGTTTATATCAGCTGTTTGTACTCATTCTGATGGCACCCATTCACTGCTGAGGATCCACTGGTGAGCAAGTAATGTAATGCCTTCGCTGAAATGGTCACTTTGAATTTATATGTATTTTTTAATAGAAAAATAGGAGCATACAAGTTTAGAATAGCATAGTGAAACGGTTAAAATGAGTAAATAAATAATGACAGAATTTATAACCTCTGCCCTCATCATCTCAGCCTGTATGTTAATCAGGGCACAGTTACTGTGCAAGTTTCAGTATGGAGATAACATAAAATGCCTGCTATTCGAATGAAGCTAACTGTTATTGCTAATGACCAGCAGGATTAATTAGAGGGAGCAGGATGGGCAGCTCGGAGAGCAGTCTCTCCCTCATTAATCCACTTGCAGGTGTTCTCCTGCCATTCTCTCCCTCTCCGTCTGCACATGGAGAAGATCGACGAGAAGCCAACTCACACCAATTCAATCTTATTAGTCCACCACAGAAATCACATCCCTGAAAGAACCTCCAGTGGAGGACAGCTGTAGATAAGGGAAGAACGAGACTCTGAAACACAAAGATTTGAGGAAATTGTGCAAACTGGGAGAACTTTTGTGTAAAGGTGGTATCTTCTGTGCTGAGAGACCAATGAATGATGTATCTGAGAGACTTTTTAAGGTTTTTCAGCACATTTTCTCCAAGTTCCAAGTCAAAGCAATGTAATATTTTTTGTCATTATTTATAATGTGACTAAAATTTGAGGTGCAACCCAAATTCTAAATTAGGCTGATATTATGCTAATGTCAGTTTTGCTCATGCATGAAATAGAGTTAACAGATTATTATTGTTTTTTTTTTTAAATCACAATTATCTGATTTTCAAATCAAGGCTACTTGAAATACATTATAATTTTGTAAAATAAATATTTATGTAAAAATGTATGTAAATTAACGTAAGTTATATTAAATAAAAATAAAAAAACTAACTAAATAAATAAAATAAATAACAAATGTATTGTTTCTGCTAACATTTGACATTTATATGTAAATGTATAGTTAAAGTAACACTTTCATGGCAATCTGTAACTTTCTTTTACTTTCTGGGGAATTGGTGAATTTGTACAATCTAATTTGTACATTTTCATACAACTGAAGGTTATGTTTAGGAGTGGGGTGGAACTTTTTTCTAAAAATTATACATTTCCATACAAATCCCACACAGCATTTCAAACAATATATTTTTCTCATGAAATCAGGGTGATTAAGGACTTACCAACACATTAGATCAAACAAATTTAAACCAAATAATAAAAACTATTTCCACATACAAGCAATGAGTTGAACACAAATTGCATACTCAACATCAAAAAAATAATAATTCCATTATTGATTGTAAATACAGCAGGGAGGATCACTGATCTATGACTACTGTTGGTTTGGAGCTGTACTTAGTAGGGGAGACTGGGGAGTGTTGTCACACTGAGTGATTTGCAACACCATTACTTTAACCAATTAGAATTGAGCTACAGGGGTGAAATCACTATCACACATGACCACCACCCTCCTGAGGTGAGAGCAGCAGTTGGAAGACTGTTTGTGAAGTCAATTCTTACATCTGGTTTTCTAATTTAATATACAGCATCCAAGCTTTCATACATGAAGTAATAATAATAACAATTAAAAAAATTGCAGCATTACAGAAGATAGTGAAAGTTGTAACACTATTTTCCAATGTGTTTCTACAGCACCCATAAACAAAATGGGACAATTTTATTTGCGATTTTGCAATGAAGTTTTTTCTATATGCTTTACCATTTAGATTTTAAGTAATTATAATTAGCTAATTCAAATTATTATTTCAAATAAGTATTTTAACGCTTTATTTGATTACCATACAATTCAGGTATACTATAAAAATGTAAATAAAACAAAGATTAGTGGAGTATGTTTTAAAAGAAAATATTATTATTAGTCTTTCTACTACAAAAAATAATGCTTTCCATTTCTTTGTACTTAATTGTGAAATTTACTAGCAATTGCTGAATGAAAAATGTTTCTACATAATTTTTTTTCACAGCGTATACAATTTAAACTGATGTCCATGTTTTCATTTAAAGGTGGGGTAAGCGATTTTTAAAAAACGCTTTAGAAAACTGAGTCGCCTGAGTAGCAAAACAAACTTGTAGCCAATCAGCAGTAAGGGGCGTGTCTACTCATGATGTGGAGGAGAGAGCGTTCAGTGCACAGGACGGACATTAAAACCAGTTAAACTCTGCGGACCCGGATACGGGTCCAAAATGACGTAAAAAATGTTTATGCTTCATTTACATAGCCTTCCTTATATGGTATCAGCCCATATATGGGTTCATTTGAAAGCTTGGAGTGTCTTCTTTACAAAGAATACCATTCCTTTTGGTTTTTATATTCATAAAGCAGTAAAATTTCAAATGTCAACATTGGCTACCAGAAATCGCTTTAATGTTACAACGTAGTCCACTTGGGGAAAAAATTAGTAGTATATTTCTACTTTAATTTGTAGCAGATAAATATAGAAATTTTATATCAAAAATTGATATGCAAGTGCAAAAAATAAACAAAAAAACACTGCGACATTACACCTCCTCTAACTGGTGTTCTTTATTCAGTGCAGCTTTTTCTTGAAGCTGAAGGAACACTGTGATGTGGGCCATTAACTGAGGCTTTAAGAGGGCCAATGAAAGTGACCTGGCCTGATCTCCAAATGAAAGCTAAATATGCTGCGTGTGGACATCTGTCATGGGGATGTGGGAGGAGGCTGACAGACTCAGAGTAGCCTACTAAATAATTTTTACACTAAACTCTGGGTATGATTCACTTTGTGATCGCGCTTACGCAACGTGTTTTCACCACGAAAGGTGAAAGGTTTTTAGTGTAGAATGAACTCTATAAACATGAATTGCACAAGATGTAACCAAATGTAGTAACTGGGGAATGGTCTTTTTTGGCAATTTAGGTTTTTCATCTAGTGCCGCAGGAGGTCAGCTTGTTTCCAGCACACATAAAACGTCGTCTCCCATGAGGCGCTGCTTGGATCCTAGCGCAGCAGGCCATGCACCACTGACATGGAAATTCAAATTGACGGGGATTAACTCTTTAGACTTCAACAGACCCGCCAGTACATTATGTTCCTGATCCTGATGAGAAACCAAACGTTTGCATGAAAGACGGAAAAAAAATGAAAGATGGAAAATGTCAGTCACTTACATGATCAGCATTGTGTTGTAAATGCACTTTACACGGGTCTTGCTATGGCACTTGATTGAAAGGGACAGACAAAATAAACCAATTAACTAACAAATGAGCTAACAAATTAGTTGTTTTCATTTTATTACAGTGCAACATTATTCACTTACGTGGGAAGTAGTATTCCGGCATAAGAGTCTGTAGTCTTAATTACTGGAAATTAATTTAAATGTATTCATATTTATTTTAAATGCAATAAAACACACCAACTTGTGTTCTTGCCAAATTATATCATATGCAGGTACAGTATTTTAAAATAACATTTCATTATGTATCATGTAAAGCACATTTCACAGTTCCATCACCAACTTCCAATTTTATTAGTATCAAACCACTGCTACAAAATTACATCAAACATGATGAAAATGAACTTGCATACGTGCTATACACAATGTAAGCTTTAAAGTAATTAAAGTATATGATTCTTTTTTTTTTTGACAATATCAATATATATCAATGCCACTTAAAGCCATATATGTCATTCCAGTGATCTAGAGCCTAAAATATACAACTATATCCCTGGTGGCTAAAGTATCTCCATACACATGTAAGTAAAGATGACCATTTCAAATTTCTCATCACAGAAATTTCAGCTTCAAGAGTTGAGGAAATAAAAGTACAGCCATCCCAATATGGTTACAATGTCCATTTTACTTAGTCACCAAACTGAACGAAACAAAATAAAAGGTACCAAAATCAAATAAACATGTATATACAAAAGTAACCAAAGCTCACCAAATGTTTTCCAAAAGCATTAGTGTAAATTTGGATCGTTCTGGCGAGTGTCCTCTGTGCTCAATTACTCAGTAGCAGACGGGTGGTTTCACTGGTGGACTTATTCCACTTCACAAAATAACTGCTTAAGATATGAACGGTGCCAACACAAATTGCCCATGCCATTCAAAACAGCTAGCAACAATTACCAGGCCAACTAACATCTAATGAGACGATAACGGTGAATAAAAGAGAACGGTGTGTTTTTCGAAAACCATGGACTTGCGTAACCAAAATTGATCCCTTGCTTTTCACATAAAACATTTCTCCTGATGAGACACAATTGGCAGTTTCAAACAGAGCTCAGCGAAAGACGGCTCTGCTAAAACCGTAGCATTATCAAAACCACTGCATCAGTGCTTGGCTAACTTGTTTTCCAGCTCAGTGAAAATAACGAGCGAGGGGGCCGACAAAAACTTGATGGCGAGAAACAAAAAAAGCTTTAGAATTCACTCATTCTCATTTTGGCAGCTACTTTATTATCCAGACAAATATTTTGCCAATGGATGTTTCTACCGGCTAAGTACAGTCATGGCGGCTGCTTCATTTGTCATCAGTTTCATATCATTCGAAGGTTTAACACAACAGCCGCAAACCAAATGGGCGGCACGAAGGATTATAGGTTTTTGTTCTTTACGGTGCGCCGTGGAGTCAATTAGAATACTGCAAAACTGCAATTACTGGCAAGCATTTTGAAAAGGACAGAGGTTTATGTAGATTACTGTCAGCCCTGCCAGAGTGCTGCTGAGAGAGCGAGCGCTCACAGCTGGTTAATGCAGCACCTTCCAGCACTCCACAAAATCATCCTCCAGAAACTGACAAAGGCACAGGAAGAATTTTATTAACTGCCAGGTCAGAAGAATCACCTCCCCTGGCCGCACACACAGCACTCTCAAACCGACTTTTAAAAGAGTCTGGCCAAGACAGAGATGGAGCTGACAGGTTTTTAATCATTTTTATTAACTGCCAGGTAAGAAGAATCACCTCCCCTGGCCGCACACACAGCACTCTCAAACCGACTTTTAAAAGAGTCTGGCCAAGACAGAGATGGAGCTGACAGGTTTTTAATCATTGAAATACCGCCTCCCACCCTCATTCTGTCTCGCCAGCAGCTTCGCTCGAGATAGGAGACAAAGTATCTTAAATGTTTGGGTTTTTCGGGCCTTACACGTATGGTTACACATCCACCGAAGACTTTTTTGTACCGATATGTGCTCATAGGATTTCGAGAAAAAAAGTACCGAAATTGCTACCTCATACCACACGGCAAGGACTCCGGGAAGGTGCTGGAACCCAAGGGGTCTCCTCGGGCCACAACATGTGCTGCTTGCAGTAATTTGAACCCATTCGAAAATAGCACCGGCCTTTTGGGTTTTTGTGACCACTGGCACCACGCAAATTCTGGATATCTGTCGCTTGGCTGACGTGAGAAATTTCGAAACTCGTCATTGAATATTAATGCATGTCCAGGAATGTGATTATCAAGTCATTAGATGCTCAGAGTGAAAATTTGCAGCACATTTGCCTGTTATTTACAGACTCATTTGAAAGGCTGTAACTTTCAGGAGAATTATGCATGCATGAATGCTCTTGTCTGCTTTTTTTATCTTGATATCCACTTACGCAGTTTTAATGATGCTTTAATGAGCTCTTTGTTATGGTTTCATTCACAATATTTATTAAAAGAGCATGTGCTACTTTTATTTTTTTTACAGAACTCAAAATTGGCAGACGTTTTTTTATTATTTTTTTTAAATTGCCCTTTTATCAGCTATTAATTAGAAGCCAGAAATACTACGCAACACTGATTCGTCTGGTATACTAGCTATGAATGGCAAATGCATGAGGCTTAGACATGGCATTTGACATGGAATGGCAACAGATCATATCAATTAATACTTTTAAAGGCACATTTTATACAGTACTTGCTTCTAGAGTGGACTCAGAATATTGAAATGCAGCGTATTTACTGTAACTGTCAAAGCTATTGGTGTTAATCTGCGATTATGGAGGTTTGTGGTAATGATAAGCAAGTGCAATGTTACTTTTTATATCACAACGGCGAGAGCCAGGCCCTCACAGCGATGAATATTTAAACTTCCCTCGGTTTGATCTTTGAGGCTTTCAGGTCTGTAATAAGCAAAGGGACATACAGGTGAGACCTATATGATTCTGTGACTGATTCTTCGTCAGAATATATCTGTTGTAAGTGAAATATTCAGACACTTCCTGTCATTGAAAATGTACTTTGTGCATAAATAATATATAAAAAGAATCTAAATTCGTCACGCGTTAACCAAATAGCATAAGTACAGTCCATAGGAAAGGACCCAGTATTGCACACTGAGCGGAAACGATTCTGTGATGACTTTCACATGAAAAGAACATTTCATCATAGCTCAACAGACAGGCCTAGTGATGTTCAGTAGTGTGGAACACATTTCATTAAGTCAAAGCAGCCTCGAAACTGGTTTTGTTCTCAAATTATCGATTTATGGTAAGTGGCCACCTTAACATACATATTAATTTGACATGCAGCACATTTATAATTTCTGCACATCTTAATATACAACAAGTGTGTGGGAACTAGGGTAGAGGTTAAACTAAACCTAGACACTGGCTCTACCAATAAGATAAAATGATTTCTACTTTCTTGAAATATACACACACGTGACTTGTTTTCTATTATACCGTATGACTGGTTCACACCCTCTGAGTTAAAAGAAGATTATTTGATTACAAACGGTTCTTTTTTCCAACTTCTACTCGTTTGACAAGAATCAACAACAGTTGTGGCATCTAAAATGAAAGACAACATTGTAAACTATGCCATACTGCATACGTATTTTGAAATAATATTCATTCACACGTTTGGATCCACACTTGAAAGTTTCATATTGTCCCCACAAGGGAAGTGCATATTCTTTTTTTTCTGCTTCCCTATTCAAAACTATTTCACACTGACAGAAGCAAAGCAGGTAATATGTTAATACATTATAAAAATCCTGTTCAAATGATTACAACCATAAAACATACTCCATAAAATTAAAGAAAAAAAAGCCAATAATGATTTGAATGATCGTCAGATAAGTTCCAGTAGACACTGTTCGTAATTTCCTCATTTAATCAAAGTGCACATCAAATATGACCCACTTTTCCTCCACTTTTTACTTTGGATTGGTCTGTTACAATATTTTGCATGCTGCCAACTAAAGAATGTCTTTTATGTGCTATTTTTATTTGATATCTTATTAAATATAACATCAAATGCAACACAGGCATTTTCTCTATTCCTTTTTCACATTAGAGCTCTCATTTTAAAGACCCCCAGGGCGGAAATGACAGCTCTGTAACTGCTTTGCTGTTTTATAACCTTTTGACCACTTCAAGAGGCTCATTTTAATTTTACAATTAGGCTCACTCACAAATAGTTTTACAAGAGACAGGACAGCTCTGTAACTCTGCTTTGCTGTTTTATAACCTTTTGACCACTTCAAGAGGCTCATTTTAATTTTACAATTAGGCTCACTCACAAATAGTTTTACAAGAGACAAATGTATCTCATACGATTACGTATTTGAATCTCCAGTGCAATCTAGGTTTAGATTTTTTTCCTGCAGTAAAACAACTAATTCATGTATTTCTAGAATAACTAGAAAGGTTTATGATCGTACACTGCATAATTCAGTTAAATGCAATTGGGGTCTATAGCCCAGAGGTCTAAACCTTTGAGGTATGGCTGTAGTTTTGGTCTAGAAAATGAATAATCATATTTCACCGTCAATGGAAAAAACACGCGCATTAGCGTATTAAACTAAAGCTGCTCTTCTATTGTTCACTTCGCCTTTGACTGTATTACGTTTGATATCAATTTCAATATCTCTCCCTTTGTGAAATCTTAAACAGTGTTTCTTGGTTCACTGGATTTAAATGAGCTCGGCAAAAACCGTACTATTTAAACACTTTGTGAGTATGTGAATGATGTACCAGCACGGAGAGCAAGGTGACACACACTAGGGCGTCTTTCCTTTTTCAATAACAAAGACACTAACGTCACACACCCTTACTTTTCCAAAGCGTGATTTCGGCTAATTTGTGAGCATTCGAAGGGGACAATGTGTGCTGATTCACAAAGTGGGAAATCAGGAAAAGAAAATAAGATAATAATAGAAAATAAGACAAGAGAAAGAAAACCAACCCCCTAAAACCATATGTATTTACATGATGACAAACACCACAGAAGAAAATTACCATCCCAACATAAGAAATGCTGATTAAAATCCCTCGCTGCTTTCCAAACACACTGTACCAGATTGGATCCAGCCATCAGCAATGTCAAAGGATCTGTAAATGCTCAAAAGGGTTCTTTACAGTCATTGTGTATGGCCGTCCCCAGGGCTAGTAAATGCTGACGAGAGAAGAGAGAGCCAGGATCAGGTACCGGCAGGCCAGCAGGACTTCAGCGCCTCCTGTACTTCCATACGGAGCGGTGTTGGGTGCTGTAAACAACAGAGCAGAGACACACGCTGATTAGCAGATTCTCCCTCTCTCCTGGCAGCGAGTCATAGTCTCAGTCAAGCAGTACCTCCTCCCTTTTCATATGAGCGGAGCACACGCTGCCTGCCTTCACGCTCTCAAATCAAGACTCACGATGGGCTCGCATGCCGGAAGGAGTCCTTCAATAAGACGCTTTGTTTTAAACCCGTGCTGGGTACTTCAAAATAAGAGGGCGTAACAACTAGTCTCAGAGATGTGATCATGTTGCTTTCTCTGCTTTTACCTTTGAACCTGCTAGAACGCATCAAATTCGTTTCATCCCTAATGAAAATCTATTTGCATAAAATATATTTTAAAATATATGCAAAATCTCGATGACATGCTTCTAGGCTGTTCTGAGTGGTTGCCAGTATTGGCAAGTTTCTGTGCGATTGCTAGGGTGTTCTGGGTGGTTGCCAAGGAGTTGCTATGCAGCTGTTAGGATGTTATGAGCTCATTGCTCTGTCCTTTGCTAGGGTGTTCTGGATGGTTACCAGGGGCGCTGCTATGCAGTTGCTGAGGAACAGAGGAACTTTGAATGATTCTTAATACAATATGTGGTTGCAAGGTTGTTGCTATGCAGTTGCTAGGGTGTTCTGTGTGGTAGCCAAGGAGTTGCCATGCAGCTGTTAAGATCTGCTATGTCCTTTGCAAGGGTGTTTTGGATATCACCAAGGTACTTTGAAAGGGCACCTATTACGCAAAATTCACTTTTACATGTTGTTTGGACATGTGTGTTGGCAGTGTGTGTACACTACCACCCTATAATGATAAAAATCCACCCACTTCTTTTTTTAATCCCCATAAATCATAATCAGTGTCTCAGAACAAGCCGTTTGCAGAATCTGTAAAATGTGACGTCACATTTTACAAGCCCCATCCACGACTGTTGACGGACAATGCTGTATTAGAAGAGACACCGCCCTGAGTGAGCTGCACACAATCCGCCCTGTTTATCTTCATGCTAAAAAGCATCATTCAAGAAAGAAATGTCTTCTTATTACAGCTACAGAAATTATTCATTCAAGTCCGTGTAGACAGCAGTATAGGTACTGCATATTACACTGCTGTCACTTAATACACAGATCTAATATAAAAGTGCGATTTCTTTCCGGCTGTTTATCTTCACAGACATACAGTGGGTACGGAAAGTATTCAGACCCCCTTAAATTTTTCACTCTTTGTTATATTGCAGCCATTTGCTACATAACCAACTGTTTTTTTGTAACTTGTTTGTGCTTGACAGTTTAAGTGCAATAAGACATGAAAGAGAACTTAGTTTAGTACTCACATGCTGTGTGACAGACGCTTTCTGTGCACGTGCGTCCTATGTGTGCACTCAGAAAAACCTATATCAGACGTTTAAACTAATATGGCTTTAAAACGCATGATTTCAGCAAGATAGACATAATAATCAAAACCAAACAGATGTTTTTTGGCAGAATATCTAAGTTACACGCTGTAAAGGAACAGCCCTATTCTCGAAAAGGGGCGGGAGCAGCAGCTCATTTGCATTTAAAGAGACATGTTTTTTACTTCCACTCATAATAGGCAGTTTTTTAATTATGTAATACATGATCTGTGGGGTATTTTGAGGTAAAACTTAACAGACACATTCTGGCGACACCTGAGACATATATATTACATCTAAAAGGGGGCATGATAGGTGCCCTTCAAAGATTCTTACCACTTTCCTGTGCCATTGCAAAGGTGTTTTGGATGGTTGCCAAGGAGTTGCTATGCAGCTGCTAAAGGCTGGAATACACTACATGACTTTTAAAATGTGAACAGATTTTAAACCACTAGGCATCATATACTTGCCAACTTTAGAAATAGTTACAGAAGAAAAACTGGCCATCACGTACTAACGACTGAAGTTCATACACCACCAGACTTTATAGTCTTTCCGATTACAACAAACTCACAAACATGTCTTTTTGCTAAGAGACACATGACAAACAAAAACAATATGTTTTCTAAAATCAGCTCAAAATATCAAACATATTTGATATCCTCTGACTGGATGTATTCATAGTCTGAAGCAAAAAAAACAACAAAACAAAACCCAAAAAATATCAGAGTCTGTGACCACCATACACGATGCGATTTATTGTAAAATCTGCCAACTCAAATTTGCAGACTGGTTCTGATTTTTGGCAACTAGTGTCAACTTCTCCAGAATGTAAATCGGAACAAAAATCTGTAGTGTATTCTAGCCACAAGATGCCCTGAGTTCTTATTAACACATTGAACTGAGTGGTTCTTTGTATGTTGCTGTGCAGTTGCTTGGTGGTCGATAGTCAAAAAAGTATTATTCACATCCATAGCATGATACGAGGCAAAATTTAATCTCCAAGCATGAGCAATAGTAATAGTGATGCTTGCTTTAGCAAACCCACTGATAAGCCTGTGCTGCTGACGCTAGGTATGCTCATATTTTCCCAGCCAACACAGATCCCTGTGGCTGAAAGCCTTCGGGTCTGTCCCCGAAGCAAAACAACTTGAGTGTAGTACTCAGGAGAGGCGCTTCAGAACAGGTGTGAGAGTGTACAGGCATTCATCTTCATGAGAGTTTTTGTTTCACAGCTCTGTTAATGACAGACACTGGCCTACCTAAGGAGATTAGTACATCACACGCACACAAACCACACACACACACACACACACACTCAGGAGATTATGTGTCCTGGCTGGTACCACTGACTTTCTTTTACATCCATCCAGCAAATTTTCGTTGTGCATGTTATTTGCGAATACATGTGATGACAGTATCTAATGGAGTCATTATGATATGGAATCATTTGTTTGAACTGTTTTCCCGCACTGAAAGCCACAATAAGGCTGAATCACGACATCAAATAGCACATCTGACAGTAATAAGTATGTTTGTGCATGGAAGGTTGATAAAATAATTGCTTTGAGACAAGTCCTCTCACGAATTGCAAAAAATGGGAGATGAAAAGCCGCGCATCCATTTTCGCTTCCATTCCAGCTTTTACGGCTTTAAATTTAAAATTACCAGTGTTGCTTAAAAATCTTTATACCAAAAAATGACAACCACTTGCAACGGGAAGCCAGGAATATCAGAAATGGGTATATGAGATGCATGGTCAGGAAATGAGGAGAGCAAACTGCCCTGTACACTGCGGCTTCATTCTGCCTCCATCCAAAGCACTGGATAATGACACAGTTTTTGCTAGGCAGAGAGAGTGGAGCCGGTAACCATGGAAACAGCTCACATCCTGCGCTGGCCCCTTTGCCAGAGCCACAGAGTGTGCACAGCGCTACCAATGGAACAGAATCATTTAGGCTATAGGCACCTGCTGCAGTATCTAACTATAAGCGCTCTTTGTCAAAAAACAAACAACGCCATATGGCCTGTGAAAGGTAAAAGGACGAAACGCTTTGTCCCTACAGTATATTTCTTTCCAGTGCCCCATCGAACTAATAACTACTGGAACGTCGGTGATGATTCAGGGTCGTGCCAGAAACATCCTATCATCTGGCACTATAGAAGCAATTAAGGAAAGCACCAATATTACCTGCCTGGCTGCATTGTGCGAGTTAGGGAGCTGTTTAATATCCCACTGCGTCTAAATCAGTCTGTTGTTGTGACGGTGCAGGTTGTTACTGCACTTGCCATTTTAATTAACTCAACCCCTCCCCATCCAGACAGTGGCTGCCTTGTGATTACTCTGCTTTAAATCTAAAGTGTGTAAATACAGTGAGAAAGGAGGTTATTGCACCGGCTTTTGCAACAACATGGCGGTCCCACAGAGCGAAGTTAGTACAGGTATTAGGAACGGCATGACATTTCGCACATAAAAACAAATCGTCGGATTAACCATCTAAAGACTGCATATCTTGAGATGCAAGAGCATCAGTTTCCTCATTAAGTTTGGATCAGGGAGTAATCAGTCATGTGCATCTAAATCATGGTTTTGCACTCTATCTAAAGCACACAAAACCTTCCCTTCATATGATTATGAAGAGGACACATTATAATTCTGCATAATGATCGCCATAGGCCACAGACAGAAATTTCTGCATTGCCTATATATACAAGTACAAGACTCCAATTAAAGCAAATGAGAGCTCTCTCTCTGTTCGACTTTGTGTATTTGTTTTGGTTGATTTAGTTAACAGCTTAATTTTTTTTTAGGCATAATGTTGTTGGTGTGACACGGCGCAGAATAAAAAGAGGGGCTGCCACCCTATAATCAGCTGCTAGTTTGAGTCCCACCATTCCTTTTAACTGGCACAAGACCCATTGTTAAGCTGCTTAATGAATTTCATCCTTCCATTCAATGCTCTCCCTCTTTGTGCCGCTCTTATGCTGTGATAAAACAAGTTACAGTTAAGACTATTTCCACAGTTTCCATTTTTATTGTAGTACTATAAAATAGATAGTTTTGGTTTAGTCAATTCCTGAACTGAATTTGAGGAACTAGTATTGAAATTGTAATAATTAAAAATACACTACTGTTTGAATGTTTGAGGCCAGTAAGATTTCTATTATAAATAAATAATGTTCTTTTGAATTTTCTATTCATCTAAGAATTTTGTTAATATATTATGCAGCACAACTGTTTTCAACACTGATAATAAGAAATGTTTCTTGAAAACCAAATCAGCATATTAGGGTGATTTATGAATGTCATGTGACACTGAAGACTCCAGTAATGGCTACTGAAAATGTAGCTTTGCCCTCACAGGAACAGATGATAACAGACATTTTTTAATTTAATACAATTTCACAATATTACCGTTTTCACTGTATTATTGATTTTGAACATTAGTGGAGATACATTTAAATTTAAAGAAATTTATATAACCCCAATAGGTCAAATTATTAACTGGGTAAAAAAAAACATGTAATTTCCCAAAATGCCACAACGTTAATTTCTTTAAATTGCCATTTAGTCTATGTCTAAAATTTTAGAAAAAGTTGTGTCTGCTCAAT